GTGTGGTCCCATCATTGGCCTGGGTTGCTCTGTGAAGGCACCATGGGTTTAGGAATAAGCTTCACTGCTGAGGACTGCAGGAGTAGCCCTATCTTTGCCCCTGTGTAAACTGCTAAGGACTGCTTTCTGAATGCATAATCTGACCAATTCAGCTGGTCACAGAAGCTTTGTATTTAGGATGTAAATCTCTGCAAAAATGGTCAACCCCATGCTTCCTTTCTTTCAGGAAATCTGTTTGTTTCTTTTTATTTGATAGCATTGGGATTTTTTGCTCTCAGAAGAGTGGACTATTGCATTGATGACAATAATTAAGATCATTCTACAGTCATTTACGATTATTGTTGTGGAATAATTTATTCCTTGGAGTAAATCACTCATGCATACACACACACATGCATGAATACACACACATAGGCACACACACACACTCAAACAGGTGCATACATGTGTGCAAATGAATAAACACTCCAGAACCCCAGGATCTCATTCAGTTCTCTGGAAGTGGTAATCAATGAAATTGTACCCCGAAGTCTCCAGGAGTTAATTTGTTTGCAACAGGTGGACAATTTCCTTCCAGAGTCTACTCTTTTTCTCCTACACTTGTCATAGTATTTGTGGTACATAATAGCTTCTTCGGGGCCCAGGTCATGGACCCTGATGCTAGAGACCATTTTATAGTGAAGCGTTTTGATAATCTCCAGATTCACAATTCCACTGGATGAGGAACAGGGCTAAGGAGAGCTTCCAGTGGACTAGCTCTTTGTGAAACGTGACAATAAAATGTGGTTCTCCACTTACTCCTTTCTTTACCTGTATAGTAACCATCATTTGGCAAATGAGACAACACATGCATAAAGTGGATTATAGGTGTTTACAAACTTGAGTTATCACCATTATTATAATTATTACTTTATATAGGAAAAAGGGCACATATCAGATGATGTAATCCAAAGCTGCCTTGCAGACTGAAAACTCACAGCTCCTTTTTTACTTTATGGTTGTAGTTTAATTCTTAGAGAAACTTTTTTTCCTTGGATTAATTTACAGCAAAATCTTAATGAATGGGAACCCAATTAATTAGTCTTCTCAATTAGCCAAAACATTTAGGAATCCTCAATTAACCAAATAACACACACGCTTTCTCACTCTTGTCTTATAGGAAAGCAAGGGGAGGGGGAACCCCTTCATGGTTTACACAGAGCTGTTACCCTGTTCACTCCAGTACCTCTGTACATAAAGTTCTGTCCTTTGGGCAGGGATGTTCCTAAGAACCTGGAGCCACTTAAGAACCTGAGTCAGCTGAGAAAGATCATCTTGTCAGCTGCATTCAACATACAATGACAGAATTTTCAACAACCAAATACTGTGATTAGACAGAGTCTCCTTCATCATCTCTACCCCTGTTCTCTGACATCTAGGCCAGTGAGACCTTAAGAGCTTCAAAGAATAAAGAAAAATGTATTCTCCTTTATGCCTCTGGCCTCTAAACTATGTTGAGTAACAGTGAGTAGGTATTTGTTAAACTGAGTGGAACTTGTCAACAACCACAGAAATCAGCACTTTGAGTCCTACCCTCTTCTGCATCAGTTAGCTGTGCCTGAGTGCCCCGTGTCTTTACTCTGAGCCCTCTGTTCTTTCCAGAGTCAGAGTGAGCTTGGCTCTGGATTACTTTCACCATCATTTTACCTGTACTATTAGCAAGGGAGGACTTTCTGAGAGTGGTCTAAGAGCCTATTTATTATTTAAAATTAAAATAGCTAGCATTTAATGAGAACTCTGTGCCAGGCCCTGTGTTAAAGAAAAGAAACCAACTCTCAGAGATGGGTAGTGTCATCTCCTCTTTGTAGATGAGCAGATTGAAGCTTGGAAAGGTTAATTTAATGGCACAGTACTAACAGTGTATTTCATCAGTAGTAAGATTATATATATATATATATATATATATATATATATATATATATATATATATATATAAAGATCTTTGCAGTGGTCAGTGTGGTTTCAGTCTCAGTTAGCCTGCAGACAGCAGTTATGAGAGGATGACACTGTCCTTGCCTGGATGCAGTTGCTCATCACATCCACAGATGTCATTACATCACTAACTTACTGTGCATCCTTGGTACCTGTATCTTGAGTTTAGTGGCAAATAAGCTGGTTTTGAAAATAGAGTAAACATTTGAGCCAAGCATGCTAGTCCCCCCATCCCCCATCCCTATAATCCTTATAAATTACACTCTCAGCACAGAAGAAAAATTACTGTGAATATCAGACAGGCCTCTTTTGTTAATCCTTACCTGAGGATATGTTGCCTCCTGTACACTCCTAGACTGGGGATCAAACCCACAACCTGGCGATGTGCCCTGACTGGGAATTGAACCGGTGACCCTTCGGTTCATGGGGTGATGCTCCAACCAACTGAGCCACACCAGCCAGGGCAGACAGGCCTCTTGACAGAGCAGTGGAGTGTCATTTGACATTAATGAAGCAAATATTGATCACTGGAGGAAGAACTTCAATATTTTCTCACAGGGCAACAATATGTTGCTTAGAAAGAGAGATATCTACAGAAAGACGAGGATGTGTTTGTGTTGTGTTATTGAGATAGGTGCAAAGCAAAGGGATTACCTGTTCCACATGAAGCCATGCAACTAAAGGCGGGAGATTGCCACATCTTTTTGAACAGGTAAAAGAAATATCAAAGCAGCCAGAGGCTGCTATGCGAACTCATGAGTATCTCAAGACTATTAAGGCATCGTGTCATCATTTAAACACAAGTGCTCTTGCCTTGTAATAAAATAACGGTGTATCTTAACTATCATGAAAGCCTTGCATTAGATGAAATTCGTTAAGTGGCACATCCAGTTTTTAACTCAATCAGCCTAGCTCTGGAGATTTCACCCATATCCACTATCATCCAGGCTTTTTATCTTCATAGGAAAACATTTGCAGGGTGTAAAGGGTTTTATAAATCAATTTTTAGCACATAGCTCAGTTGATAGTGAGTTGATGGCATCTTTTACTGAATATTTAGTCTCATATTTTTTAGGAGAACCTTCCTCAACTCCCAGTGCCTCATGACTTGAATTAAAATCTTCTTCGGTTAGCTGTATTATAATTGATGACCAGACAGCATGCTGTACTATGTTTTATTTCTTGATTGCCTAACAAGGAATTCAGGAAATGGTTCCTATCATTAAGATAATTATTTGAGGTTGGTGGAGGTCCAGTGAGTTGTGTCTTTCTCTCTAGTTCAGAGTTAACTGAGAGATCCACACAGGTGTCAGCAAATAGGGATCACATTGGAAACCATGATAAATACTTGTTCAGAAGATACGGTATGGACAGCTGTCCATGGTAGGATGGCGAATAGTTCATCCCTGGATTTCCACCTGGTGCAGTGCCATAGGTCAATAACTGAAGGGGCAGCGTCCTTACCATCGTGTGGTTTTCCAATCTCTTTTTACAATTTTCATTTAGTTGAATCATACCCATAGTATCATTGCCTCATTGCCTTCCACTTCATTTAAGCTCTCTGAGAACAGTCAAGGTTGCTGTTCCACCCCAGGGGAGCATTTTATTCAGAGGAAGAACCCAAGATTGCCACTGTATAAACTTATCTTCTCAGTGCTTTAGATGAGACTTTTCAAAAGACCTTTGATAGAAGTCAACACTCGGATCAACCCTCTGAATCTTGGCAAATCTCTGCATATTTTATAAATGTTTGCATATTATCAACCAGCAGGTCTGAGTTTCTCCAGTTTCATGTTGGTATAAATCACTGTATTCTGGGTCTAACTTTTCATTTTCAGAATATCTTTGATAAACCATGGTTACTTTTTGAAATTATTCAGGTGTATATAATTGCCTCCTCATAGGTAGCATGGTAATAGATGCATTTCATCTATTTTGCTTACATTTAAGTTTTATTTTTGTACATAGGTTTAACTAGTGTATTATTTGCTAACCCAGGGCTAAAAATGTAGAAGAGCCATAATAAAGACCTATTGAGTTGTTAATTCCTTCAGGAGTGAATCTCAAAGGAAACAGTGGGCTTTCAGATTATAACTCCATTTGTTTTTATTGCTTTATTCTCAACCCTAGACTGGTGAGAGCTTACTACTGTTTGTAGTATAAACTACTTATGTTGCAGATGAACTTAGGCCTAGTATTCCTTTTCCTCTGGGAAATAAAAAATGTGCAGCCTTCTTGTAATCACTCTTAATTTTTAACTCTGTATTGTGTATCTAGTCACCAATGTTGTGGGGGGGAGACGGGGCCCGACGTGGAGGATATTGGGGGGAATGTCATGCCTCCATTGTAGGGCAGGTATATGACTTGCTCCACTGACAGGGCATCCATTTGGAGATGGAGAAACCAGAAGACGCATGTCCTGATGGGAGCAGATGGGAGCCACATGAGGGAGCAGATCACAGTTAGGAGTTTGGGGAGCTGTTCCATGGGCCTTTTTCCATCAAAATCCCTTTTCACTGAGGCTGGTCTCCTCACTCTCCCCCTTCCTCACCTAAATGTGCCACTGACATGTCGCCCTTCCTGAGGACCCCTCTCTCACTTCTCCCTTCAGCACCATCTCCTCCTCTTTGGAGTCTCTAGAACATGCCCATTTCTCCCTTGTGCATGCCCAGTGGCATTTGTTTGTCAGCACTGCACAACTGCCCATGTAGAGGCATGACCTTTTGTTATTTCATAGATGCATGGATCGGAGCTCAGGCTGTGCTAGGAGCCATCCAAGTGACTTCATGCAAGTCCATGCTCATGATCACCATGGACCTCAGGTTTCTCACCTGGGAAATTATCTCCAGGACACTTCCCACTTTGGACTGTGTATTTCTGAAAGCAGAGGCAGTGAGAAGCTTAGTGGGGTTAGGGTAGGAGTGTGTTTCCCACTGGCAGTGATTTTCCTGTCACAGAGGTGGGTCTTCGGCCTTGATGCACATCTGTTGTTACCCACCTTTCTGCTAACTCCCGCTATTCTTTTTCAGGGCTGGGAGAGGGTTCTGCCCTCCTTCATCCAGATAGCAGATCGCATCCGAGGTCCTTAGAGAAAAGTGCCTGGAGGGCGTTTAAGGAATCTCAGTGTCATCACATGCTCAAACACCTCCACAATGGTGCAAGGATCACCGTGCAGATGCCACCAGCGATCGAGGGCCACTGGGTGTCCACTGGGTAAGCGGGCCGGGGCAGAAGGGACCTGGGAGCACCCTTCTATGGGAGGCCCTTCTTAAGGTTTCTCAGACTCAGATGCATATAGACTCTATATCACGTACAGTGATTCAGGTGTTGCCTACATCCTAAGAGCCAAACAATGCTTTGAAACTCTGGTTGGTAAAGAAACAGAGCTGAGTGCTGTAGAAATAGCAGCTAAAGCCAAGAGATGGTATTGCACTACAGGGTGTGAGTGAATAGGTCCTTGTTTACCGAATCGGTGGGACCAATCCTGTATAAAAAGAAACCATTAGCAAGTGAAATTAGGAGTCTGTGTTTCCCCAACCCTGAAACATGACTTGCACGTTTCTGATGGTCTAAATATTCCAGCCATATTCTGGTAATTTAATAGACGGCTTTAGGGTTCTAAGAGTATGTTAAAAGGCTCTCAAGCTACCTCGACGAGGCCGGCTGGAGTTCTTGGATTCTTTTCCGGGCTCTGGAGCTGAGATTTATCCCAGTTTGAGCTCCGGCTTATCTGCCATTAAAGCTTTTAAAAATAGCCTAGTGGCAGACCTACAGTTTTTCTCCTACCCTTTAAATTGTCGAGAATTAACAAGGCTAACTCTGGGATCTGATCACTTCTCCCCTGCAGCCTCTGCGTACCTTGGGGAGGGATCAAATAAATATGCAGAAGAAAAAGGAAATTTATAAGATGATGAAGACCCAGAGGTTATTTTTCCCATTAAATAAATGGGGTTTCTCAAAAAATAAATACATGATAAATATTTGCACAAACAATGTTAATGTGATATTCTTTTTCAATAATTTATTATTTTCTTTAACAAATATTTACTGAGTATACAAATAATAACTGTGTGCCAAGTATTATTCTAGACTTTGTGTTTATAACAGTGAACCCAGTAAACATGGCCCCTGTCTTCAGGAATTTTACAAATAAACACACAAAGAAGTACTATGATGAGGGGGAAAAAACAACAGGTGCCACAGGAGAATACCAGGGGCCCTATTTTGGGACAGGGTGGGGTCAGGAAAGGTTAGCAAAGAAGAGGACCCTTGAGCTGAGATGTGGTTGGCCATGCAAAGACTAGGGGAGGGGCTCTCCATCTGGAAGAACTAGCAGAGCCTGGGTGGAGAAAGCACTGGTGCAGAGCCCTGTGGCTGGGGCGTGTACACCAAGGAGAACAGCTCCAAAGGAGGCTGCCAAGGAGGGCGGGTTTGGCTCCCAAGGTACCTGGAAGCCAGGTCTCCTCTGTGAATTTAGCTTTGAATCTAAGAGAATGAAAAGTCACTGATATGTTTTCAACAAGGGACATGCTTCAGACATGACCCAGCTCTGGCACTCAGGCGGCTGTGTGGCACATGGATGGTAGAAAGCGTGATTTGGGGATGACCAATGAAAAGACTTGCAGCAGTGTCCGCTAGAGATGAAGGAGGCGTAGGTTAAGGATGGCGGTGGGGTGGACAGAGAAGTGGACAGATTTGACGTGTGCTGAAGTCCAGTGGCCAAATCAGCAGAAAATACTAAAAATAAGTGATCTTCTTAGCTAAACCTCAAGGGACATTAATCGCTGCTCATATTAAACTCCTCTTTCTCTGGAGGAGAAATGTACCTAAGTTAAAACCTGTTGGACACAGACAACAGGGGGGTAATGGGAGAATAAGGACACAAATGTAACACCTTAATCAAGAAAGAAATTAAAAAACAAACACAAAAAACCTGCTGAGCCATTTGTGCTCTTGTTGACCCAGTCCAAGTATTAATATTTCTGGCCAAGGAAGCTAGCATTTATATCATGCCACAGCAAAATACATTTTGCTGACAACACCTGCAAAACAAAAGGAACTTTTATTACTTCTGTTATGTTAGCTTTATTATTTATTTATTTATTTTTACATATTTTATTGATTTTTTTTGCCCCCCTCCCTCCCTCCCACCCACATATCCCCTCCCTCCCACACATCCCCTCCCTCCCCAGAGTTTTATGTCCATTGGTTGCACTTATATGCATGTATACAAGTCCTTCGGTTAATCTATTATCTTCCTCAGATCCTCCTCCCCTCCCTGCTGTAATTTGACAATCTGCTTGTTGCTTTACTGTCTCTATATCTATCCTTTGGTTCATCAGTTTATTATGTTCTTTATTATCCACAAATGAGTGAGGTCATGTGGTGTTTCTCTTTCATTGATTGGCTTATTTCACTCAGCATGATGTTCTCCAATTCCATCCAGGTTGCTGCAAATGATGAGAATTCCTTCTTTTTATGGCAGCATAGTATTCCATTGTGTAGATGTACCATAGTTCTTTTATCCAATCATCTGCTGACGGGCACCTAGGCTGTTTCCAGATTCTGGCTATTGTAGATTGTGCTGCTATGAACATAGGGGTGCATATATCCTTTCTGATTGGTGTTTCTAGTTCCTTGGGATATATTCCTAGAAGTGGGATTACTGGGTCAAATGGGAGTTCCATTTTCAGTTTTTTGAGGAAACTCCACACTGTTCTCCACAGTGGTTGCACCAGTCTGCATTCCCACCAACAGAGCACGAGGGTTCCTTTTTCTCCGCAACCTCGCCAACACTTGTCGTTTGTTGATTTGTTGATGTTGGCCATTCTGACAGGTGTGAGATGATAACCGCATTGTTGTTTTGATTTGCATCTCTCGAATAATTAGTGACTTTGAGCATGTTTTCATGTGCCTTTTGGCCTTCCTTCTGTCTTCTTCTGAAAATATTCTATGTTAGCTTTATTTTACTAATTGCCTCTTTATCTTTCCAGGGGTGGAATTGATTTTGACTGGCTGGGAGGGTAGATTTCTGATTGCCTTTGAGTGACACCTCCCCAAGACTAGATTCTGTTTCAGGACAATGGACATGTAGCCCCTGCCTGCTGTACACAAGCTCCATGAAACAGAGATCAGGCATTTTTGAACTCGCATAGGGAACTTCTATCAGAAAGAAATACACTGTTTTCCCTTCTTCCTACCAGCAAGGGAGACATTTCTCTGTCAGTTAAGCCCATGGTGGAACTGCTGTTGGCAGGTTTCTGCCCTCCTGGCTTGTTCATAAAGTGATACAGAGGTTTCTGCTGTAGAGCAAGTAGACACATAGCGCCGGGCTGGGCTGCCTTGGGTCACCCTCCGGCTCTGGTGCTGGCTGCTTATATGACCCTGGTCATGCTTCTTAATTGCTTGTGCCTCTGCTTCCCCATCTGTAAAATATGGGCAATAATGATGCCTGCCGAACTCACAGGCTATTGTGAGGATTCCGTGACCTGGTCCCTACCTATACAGGACTTAGGAGCGTGTAAGCATGTTGTCATTATTACTGTAACACTGTACAATGAACCTCAACACTATAAGGAATCTCTACCTCATGCCTTTGAGATCAAATACAGTCTTTCTTTCTCTTTTCGTCCCCAGCTGTGAAGTAAGGTCAGGCCCGGAGTTCATCACACGGTCTTACCGGTTCTACCACAACAACACCTTCAAGGCCTACCAGTTCTACTATGGCGGCAACCGCTGCACCAGCCCCACCTACACGCTCATCATCCGGGGCAAGATCCGCCTGCGCCAGGCCTCCTGGATCATCCGCGGGGGCACGGAGGCCGACTACCAGCTGCACAGCGTGCAGGTCATCTCCCACACCGAGGCCGTGGCCGAGAGGCTCAGCCAGCTGGTCAACCGCACATGCCCCGGCTTCGTACCCGCCGGGGGCGCCTGGGTGCAGGACGTGGCCTACGACCTGCTGCAGGAGGAGGACGGCTGCGAGTGCACCAGGGCCGTGAACTTCGCCATGCACGAGCTGCAGCTCCTCCGCGTGGAGAAGCAGTACCTGCAGCACCACCTGGACCGCCTGGTGGAGGAGCTCTTCCTCGGCGACATCCACACCGACGCCGCCCAGAGGACCTTCTACCGGCCGTCCAGCTACCAGCCTCCGCTGCAGAACGCTAAGGTACCTCGAAGGGGACGGTCTCGGGGCCTGCAGGGAAGCAAAATGAGGGACCTATAGGTGTGTTGTGTCCATGGGGTCGGAGGAACCCCCATGGCAGAGAGAGAGAGAGAGAGAGCGCGAGCGCCAGCTGAGTCATGATGGAGGTAGTGGTGGGACTTGAGAGGGATCTCAGAGGACTTCTGAGAGAGAGAGAGAGAGAGAGAGAGAGAGAGAGAGAGAGAGAGAGAGTTGAGTCATGATGGAGGTAGTGGTGGGACTTGAGAGGGATCTCAGAGAACTTCAGGGACAGGGACACATAGCCAGCGTCTGGAGATCTGGGTCAGTCACCACTGTGCTCTGTGATGTGGGGCCTCGAGTTTCCTATTTGATGTGGGTGGTGGTTCTAGTGTTGGTGGTGTAGGAGGGTCTTGGGTGGTTGTGTGGTAGGGTCCCGAGGTTCCTCTCAACTTGAATCCTCTGGAAAAATCCTCTGGAGTTGGGTGAATAAAAAAGGAAAGCATGAAGGCAACATGGAGACCTTCTGACCACACGTGGGGAAGACAGAAGAGCACAGCAGGGATCCCAGCCCTGGGGGAGGCAGGAGGCCCCTGGGAGCAGTGGCTGTGCTGTGTGCTCTGGTCTGTAGACCCTGTGAAGATCTCCCACCCCCATGGCTGCTTTCAGGCTTCACAGCAGCCCTCTGGGGCAGGTCTTAGCACCCTCGTAGGCAGAAGAGGCAGCTAAGGCTCCAGGGTTTAGCCTCCTGCCCCAGGTCACCCAGTACATTTCAGGGGAACTTGAACCCATACCTCCTCCTCCAGACCCCACACTCGACTAAATTAAATTAAAGTTACTGTGATCAAAAGGGAGGGTGGGGGTCGGGGTAGGGGCAGGAAACAATGACAACCTTACACTGTTCTTTTCGTGAGTGATCGTCCAATAACTCTATGTGGAATTCACAAGGCATTTTCTTCCCCGGGGGCTCAGGATTCGTGGAACTCCAGTGTTTCCATTCAGAAGTTAGGGAAGCTCCAGGCTGGGAGGGAGGAGGAAGGGGGTGTGTGGGGCTCTGATCACAGAGGGTCAGGGTGGCAGGCCGTTTTCTCTAGATCAGCAATTCTAACTGCAGGGTCTCCTTGGACTTAGGTTTGGCAGTGTATTCATTTTTTTTTTTAACTCTCTTTTTCTTCATAGTCCTTTGAGCTCATTCAGGACTAGTGAAGAGATCACAGAATCCTTCCCCTGCCAAAACCACTCAGTGTTGTCTTTTTAGCTGTGCTGTTGTGAGCTCCTGTGCTGAAAGTCCCCCCCCCCCCCCCCCCCGTATCAGAATGGTGGGACATCTGCTGAGGAAGCCCAGCTGGCAGAGGCTGCTTCCTCTGGACGCTGGTCAGGGCTGGTCTCCTGTGTGATGTGAGGGCGACGGAGGGCCGTGGGCATTAGACCCAGCGCTCCCCGGGTTCTGTGCTCTCAGGGAGCTCACCAGCACGGCTCACGGTGCCTCGATGCCTCGGGGTAGTTCCAGTGGAGAGCAGGAGTCAGGTCCATGAAGCACCGGAGGCACTGAGGCAGGGAAGGTGAGTTAGGGCAGCGAGCAAGAGGGCACCGTCATGCCCACTTCAGACGTCCTCTTGGGATGGGTGAGATGGGGAAGGGTTCTGCCCATGGGTGCAAAGGCATAGAAGGAGAATCTTCCTCAGAGTGGCACCTGGGCAAGGGCCTGGTTTGGGAGGGAAATGGAGGAGTAATGAGCTTTCGGTTCCATCACGGGACCTTTCTGGTTGGTAGCATTATCCAGAGTCGGTGTTGACCGCTGCAGCTAAATAGCACTTTCGTTGAAATCTTTGGGAAAGGGGATTTTCATGCATAAATTTGGCTTCCTCAGTCTAGCCAACTTATAGATTAACTCTGATGATGGGAGGTAAGAATGTCATGAATAAAAATGGTCCACAGATAATTCAGAAAACTCCTGCTAGCCAAGGACGCCAACCTGTTTCACTCTGAACCTTTAGGGAGATCAGCTAAGCCAGCAGAGTCCTTTTCATTCCCGTCACCCTGCAGGGGAGGCACTAATGAGCAGCAAAACAGCCACAACTTCACAACTTGGGGGCAGTGAGGCGAGGGGCTGAGGAAGGAGGAAGGAGGCTGTGTTGCTCCAGGAGGTAAGGTACAGCCCAGAGCTGCCTGGGTGGATTCAGGATCCCTGTACCTAACCTTGGGCTGGTCATGTGCACACACTCAGGTTGCAATTCCATTTTCTCACCTGCAGATGCCTACATAGGCTCTTTGATCTCTTAAGTTCTTTTTAGGACTCTAAGAAAAGAAGTATTACTAAAACTGTTTTGTATTCTTACCCCTTTCTCGTCTCCCTCAAACTTACCGCAGTCCTTCTGTTGGCATGGCCTTTTCCAAAACCTAGAAGGTGAAGCCAGTATTCCTAAGACTTGTAGCTGCAGGCGACTCTCTCTCACTCTCTGCCCTGGCTCCGGAGACAGGGCTTCTCCGGTTGGCATCTCACTAAATGGAGCCTGGTTGTGGGGAGAGCAAAGGCATATGGTTGTGGCTCTGGGAGGAAAAGTATCCTGGAAGTGAGTTATTGACCTTGGCATGAAGAATTAAGATGAGAGTTGCAAGGCTGACCACCTCAGAATTTTTATAAACAGAAAGGTTGAAGCATTTTATTGTTTTGTTTTGTCCCCTCATTCAAGAAATATTAAGGGTCTTCGATATTATCCAAGATGTACTGCTAAGTAAAAAAGAAGATAAAAAAGTACAGAATAGCATGAAAAGTATTATACCATTGCTCAGATGGTGTGGCTCAATGGTTGAGAATCAACCTATGACCCAGGAGGTCACAGTTCCATTCCCAGTCAGGGCACATGCCCACATGGCAGGCTGGATCCGCTTTATGGGCTGTGCAGGAGGCGCCTATCAATGATTCTCTCTCATCACTGATGTTTCCATCACTTTCTCCCTCTCCCTTCCTCTCTGAAATCAATTTAAAAAATATTTAAAATAAATATATGCTACCACTGGGTAAAACTAACCACAAAAGAAGAAGATAAGCTTCCAAAGGAATTCGTGTTCTGGAAGGGTTCTTAGGAAGGGTAAGAATTGCTTCCGAGGAGGAAGAGTGAGTAGCTGAGACAATCAGCTACTTCAGGGAACCCTTTTGTACCTTTTAAAATTTGTGCCTTGATCTTAAATGACCCAAATACAATTACCACACAAAATCAAAATACATTTACAAAAGCTCTCGGACTCCAAGGCTCAGAGTGCTGTGGCCACAGATGACGATGGCAGTGGGGCTAGGAGGAGGATGCAGGCGGGCATCCAGGGCCCAGCATGTGCTCTCCACCACCCGGCCTGCGCGTTGGGGGAGGGGGTCCCTGGAAGACCAGGCCCAGAGGCCCTCGTGGCTCTGCGAGCTGAAAGAGCTCCTTCTTCTCTTGTTGTCCCTGGCATTGTACGTGTTGGCCTGCAGCGTGCAGCAGAGTCGTCAGGAAGCTTTCAGATCCTTCCCCAGGACAGCTATGCGGAGGAATAAATGGACTTGGCCCTCGGTGCCTTTCCAGACACCAAATGCAACGCCCCAGGTGCTCCCTGCCCGCTGGGTCTGCGGGAAGGAAGGAGTGGAGGTGCATCCGGAAAGACCACACGCACCCCTTCCCTCCCCCCCCCCCCCCTTTGAACTCCTTGCCTTCCCTAATTGCTGGTCCATGGAGACCTGGCTGAAATTAGTTTAAATGCTAAATTGAGTTTCAAACCACTAGTCTCAGCCCCTCTGGAAACGGGACACCACGTAAAAATAGAAACTTTAAATCATCTTGTTTTTCTAAGCTTTATACAGCTTCTCTGTGAGGCTCAGAGTCCTTCGGCAAATAAATTATGTTTGAAGAACATCAGGTGTGGGGGGAGAGGATTCTTTCGGGATGAAATTGCTACTCTTCATTTTAGAAAGTCAAGGCCACCTAAAATAACCCTGAGAGAAGGTGCTTTGCCTGAACTGAGTTTAACATCCAAGCCGCCTCTACCGAGTCTTGTACCGTTGAAGGGTTAGGGAGGTGAGTTTGCCCCATGGTGGAATCAAAGGATAATGAAAAACAAACGATTGCTGCGGTTGTTGGCAATGCCAAGCCTCCGTATCAGACTTGTTAGCAAACGGAGTTGGTCTTTCTCCAAAATCCTGCATGACTTAGGCTCAGGGTCGTAAATCAAAGGGTTTGTCAGAAAACCAGACAGCTTTCCCCAAGCTCTGTACCTTAAACATTCTGCCCCAGCACGCGTACAGCAGGGGGACTGCACGTCGGAGGGAGAAAGCACCCAATGTTTTCAAGAGTAGCCGGGCCCTGTGAATGAAGAAGGCATTGCTTGTGCACTTTCTTGAAATTCTAGAGAAACCTGTGTGAAACTAGCTGCAAAGGAACAGGCGTCTGTTTCTGGGGAATCTTGCCTTTCAAAGCCTTTTCAGAGTATGTGAAAAATGCAGATGAACTGTGAGACTTTCTGATGCCTGTGACAGCAGCGGGACTTTGGATCAGGTGGCCAGGGGCAGCGGACTTCTCAGCCCCGCTCCAAGAGACAGGTCTGCAGCAGAAAGGGGTTTCTCCATGTGCGTGGTGTGGGAGGATGAGCAAGAACAGAAGGTGCCAGGTGCTCATAGGAGAATGTGTGTCCCTTCTCTTTCTGCCAGTGTGGGGGAAAGGAGAGGGATTCAGAGGGGATGGAGGATGGAAGAGGTGGTAGATGACAAGACCAGGAGATTTAGGGCGTCATGACCTTAAAGGGTTTCAGAGTTATCCTTATTGTCAGAGGGGCTGGGTGTTTTAACTGTAAGGCAGCAAATGTTGCATGTTATATGAAATTGAGGTTGAATGATGGGATTTTGACTCTGAAGGGCTTGCTCGTCTGAACATTTTATGTGGGCCAGGTACGAAGTGGCACATGATTATTGCACTGCACAGATGCTCACATACATAATTATTTCAGAAATAGTTTTTTTTTTATTTCTTGATTCTACA